AAAATCAGACAGCCGAAATTTCGAAATATTTTTTCCACGAGGGAGTTTTTTGGTGATGTGCTCGTTAGAACAAGATTGACTACTTTTTCATTTGATGAGTGTGAGGCAAGAGAAGAAAAGACGAACAAATTTCTCTCGTACGACTGAACTCTTCTAACTTTCCTGTTTCTGATGATGTCGTTCGCAGAATGTAGAATTCGTATTTATTGTGATGATTTAGTTGAGGGGCTGTGGTGGGGAGGGGGGGGGAAGACAGCTTTTTAACAGCTCATTAAATTTAAAACAAAAATGAATCATGAATGAATGAGAATATCGTGTATTTAGGTCACTGAATCCACATTTCGTATATAATCAACGTTGAATAGAGGGTTATCCCTCATAATGAATTGGGCATATCGCTGTGAATTAATTTAGAACATCAGTGGTTATGAGTTAAGGCTATCGCGGATGATGACTTGCATTTCGAACATGAATAAATCATTTCATTCTTCTATCTTCAACTGAGAACAAATACCCATAGTTAGGTTGTTCTCGGTTGATTCCAGTGAGATTCAGTTTGCTCTAATGTTTCATAATATTTGTTTACATTTTGTTTGACAATTGAGTTGTTGTCTTCAGTTTTTTTTTTGATATAATAAAAATTTTTTGAAGTGATAAATTGCTCGAATAATGGCGGAAATATTCCAAGAACTTTCTATCAAAAATAATTGAAAAAAAACAAGGTAATTCTTTTACAGGAATGAACAAAGAAGAGTGCGTGCATTTGCTTGCTTGGATGGTTTTGGGTGTGAAAGCAAATCAAATCCTCTTCAATCAAATCTCATTTCGATCATCAACCAACAGCCTCCTCTCTTTTCAACGTTTTTGATGTGAGCAAATTTTCTACTCTTTAAATTTCCATACCACCGGTTTTCACTCTCCTCCTTTCGCCAGTTATTTTGTCTCATGCATGCATTTTGATTTGTGCTTCCTTATCAAAGTGCTCATTTTTGAATTGATGTCTGTCAGTCAACGAGATCTGTCAGTAGTGAACTAGTTTTTGAGTGCGAGGAAAAAAGAAGAAAATTCAGCGTTATCAGCGAGCGTTCGGGAAATGAAAAACAGGCAATAATTATTGAAGTGGGGGAACATTTGTTGGAGATTTAAAAAATGAGGAATTTCTCATGCATCTGTGCTGAATCGAATTAGGCCGAACCGAAGGAGATGAACACGAAATAAGGTCATAGCAGATGAGTTGGAATGCTTATTTCGAATTGTGTACGATGATGTTGAAGAGGACGATGATGCAACATTTCGTTGAAAACTCCAAAAATGGTTGCATATCAAATAGTTAAATTTGCAACAATTCCGAATGAACGTTGTTAGGGATAGATTCAAGTTCATCGTCAACACAATCTCATAAAAATTTTCATATTTCAAGATAATATCAAACAGATTTTTCGTTTTTTTCACCGATGGGATGTGGATTATTTTTTCCGTGGAGGAATGTTGTATTCAGAATATATGCACACGAAAAGATGTGTATGATGTTGATTTGTGCGCATCGTAATAATTTCGAATGTAGACATTGATGTTTTGACTTGAGACGAATTTGTTCAAAATATTTATGCTCAGTTAATTCTGAAAAAGAATTATGATGACAATAATATTTATGTCTAACAATATGAGAAATGTACGGGTGTAGTGGGAACAGGTTTCTTGGAAATTTTGTCCTTTTCGAGTGATGTTCAGTCGATAAGCAGATCAGTACAAGCACTAGCGGATGCATCATTGCCTCTATCACGTGGGATGATGCAAGAAAACGTTTGACGATTTTTGAAGGATTCGAATCACAGATATCATCATATGAAAGTGTGTCACATCAACACGTTACTTTCTATTCATAAATTTCATCGAACCACTCCACTTAATTTCAGGTCTTTCCAACGCATCAAATCAAACGTCAAATCAGCACTCATCGTTGTCGTTTATGATACAAGAATATCATCAACCAAACATTTACTCATTCAATAAACCAATTGAAAGTTCAGTCTTTCAAACTGATTTCATCTGATTTCAAATTTTGTCATCTAATTAAAACTAATCATTGACAAAACAATACGTCCAAAACAATACGAATCATTGTACGTCCATTCATTGAATCACTCTCATTTGCCTATCGCCCCTTTGCGGCATTAATCCAGATCGTAAATTGTTTCGTTGATGATCTTGCTGAATGGCTTTTGTCGTTATTTATTCACCTTTCCATCAACTTATTATGCTCATAATTCCATTTCACTGAATTAAGTGGGCTGCAACTGCTGATTCCTATCTGTTTTCTGCTCTTTGCTGTCGTTGTTGTATAGTCGTTATTTTGAGCGTGTATCTTCGTCTAATTCTTCGTCGTCCATTTTTTCTCTAATTTCATTCGAGCGGTGTCAATTTTAAAAACTTGTATCTAAATCATTTCAATCAGCGATCAATCAATTCTTTATCAGACAATAACGGGTCTTTTCCAGCGTGCTTTCCTTTGTTCAGTTTTATTTTTTTGAATTTTGTTATTACGCTACAATTTCATTAGAACTTCGCTGTATATAAATCATTATAACATTTGACCATATCAATGTCAATATCAATTCATCGTCATGATATTATCATCAGGATGATACTAATTCGCAGTTAATGCATATCGTCTTCTCTATACATATACTTCCCTGCTCTATTGATTACTGTTGTTATCATTATTGCTACTATTCAATGATGCTACGCCAATACATAATTATGCTGAACATCCAGTTATATTCATCATCGGTATCACTACGTACATGTGTACGTGTATATGATCCTTTATCATTCCAATTATGCGGTGATAGCTAACTGCTTCAAATGTGAGCGGAAGATGACCTCTGATCTCTGATTTTTGAGTTTCTGCAAAAACTAGTTCTCAAGATAGTCTATTTGACGAATTGTTTTCAATCCGAGGGATGCATTCTCCATCAAAGACACGAAACTAGACAAGGGGTGGGCACTGCGCGACATGCAGAGAATGATCATATAGTTTAACAATTGACGAGACATTCTAGTATTCCAATAAGAATCTATGTTAGTTCCTAAACCTGTGCCTTTGAAGTGGTATGAAATCGATTCTGATGACACCAGTGATAGCGATGATGATAATGAGATATTGAAATGAATGAATGAAACTCACTCGTGCTATTTGTTGATGATGGGTATGGAACAGACTGACTGAATTCAAAAAATTAGCTTCAAATTTTTTGTGACTTCACTATGATGTTTGTGACATTTATTGCGTAAACCCGCTGCTGCAGCCTCATCAACGCATCCGTAATCCTAAATTCCATCAGAAAATCCTTACATATCAATAGAACTTACCAATTCATTGAACAAAACCATATCCTCTGCCACACGTCTTCGTTCAAACAATGTTCTGCTGCAAAATTGAGATGAGCAAACAATCAGACAAATGAGCAACGGGTTACAAAAAAGCTGCATTGCTTCGAAAATCATCTCAGTAGCTTATTACTGACCTGTGCAGGACTACGCATGCTGTATTCGCCTACTAAATGTAATGCTTGCTTGCTTGTCTGGGCTTGGAACGCACAATAGCATCAATATAAATCAATTACAGTATTCTCAATTGCGTCTGCTCTCACCAAATCTGCAGTTTGACTCGAAACAACTCGAAAGTAAGAGTACGTGTGTCGGATAAGTATGTGCTAATGCATTCCGCTGGCACGTATGCAGAAAACTGCAGAGAATTGTCCTACGTAACCCTTGATAAAAGCATTCCTTAGCGGCACTTTGCCGGTTCGTGGTGTGAAAACAGGAAAAAACAAAAAATTTAGTCTTTATTATGCTGAACGTTCTATTTTATTTAAGGTCCGTTTGGCATTCGCTCATTAAATGTCAAGTATTTACCAGAAACTGATGTTTGACGGTACCAGTCACAAGCTGTTTTGCCAGCCGCTTAACTAATGCATAAAAGCAGCTGAGTTTCAGTGCAGTTCTAAATAAGAGTTTCTGTTGCCTGATGAGTTTCAGTCAACCTAAGTTCAAGTAAATTCGCAAATCAACAACCTAACATGATCATTGCAATAAGTAGCATCATGATCATTGCAACTGTCGATCGTTCGGAAATATGTAAACTGGGAAATGGGCGAGCACGGCAACACAGTTGAAGAAGCATAATAGAATCAATCCGTTTGAAACCTGCTAGCATTAGTGTGATCAGTGAATATGAAAATAACTTCAAAACAAGTATGCGGTGAGCAACGGTAATCATCACTGCTACAGTGTTCAGAGGCGTATTCTTTCACTCGTTTGTTTGTTTATTTGTTTATTTCCACTTTAAAATTGCTTCGGAAATCTATTTACATTATTATTGTTTGAAATTTTATATCAAAACAAATAGACTTCTCTCTAAAAACTCTTAGGGACAAAGCTCTGCTTAAAATTTATGCTCAAACATAGAGACAATTTGCACAAAAGTGAGAAAAATGAATTCACGACGAGTTGCGACCATGTCGCATGGCTGACTGTGGACGAAAATAGGTTGGGATAATGGTGCCTTCATTGATATATTCGTTAATTTTTACACTGGTTTTAATCGACTGACAAATCAATTGGTTTATTCTTCCGTTCATTTGATCGTTTGTTAATTTATTCATTCACGTTGATTCGTCGATCTGATATTCAAAAAATGTAGATTGCAGTTGATAGCACTAAGTGCGCTAGTTAAGTGCTCACTAAAATACGGTATCGTTGAGAGTGACCAATCGATGGTTGATATATGCAGATGTAAGGCATTCCAGCGACAATCTGATCTTTTCTTCAGCAGCACCACGACATTTTCTGGCTGCATTCTTTGATTGTTTTCGCTTGAAGTTGGAATGCCGATTTGAAACTCGGAGAGTTGATGGTGTTGACTGGATACGAAAGAAAGAGTCAACGCAAACGAATAAATTTACGCAGAACAATGAATAATGGAACATCGTATGGCATTAATAGATCGCTGTTTCAGTGCGCAGATCTGAGATGTTGGGCTGTGACGATTGCAATGCATTTTCAGATCTAAAGCGATGCCTTGAGATTGTATCGTAGAAATTCGGACTTTTCACGTGAAAATTATTCGCACGACTCAATTCACCTTCAGACGAGATTCGTTTCATTCGCTCGGATGCCTCTGATCCCTGTTCGAAGATACGTTTTTTAGATGTTTCATCATTCTCTTGTGGTGCTACTTGATGGCGGAGGAAGGATCGTTTGCTGAGTATTGCAAGCATTAACAGCAATTGTATCATACTCATTATTGACGCTCCAAGAAATAAGGAGAGCTGAAAAAATATTGACAAATATGATCTACTAAATGCTGGATGCCCCAAATTGTCAAAAAGTTGTGCACGCATTGTGAACAAGGTATGAATGGATCAAAGAATTGCTGTTGAAGGCTAGCAATTAAGTTTGCCTATCAATTATCGCTGCACATATCAAATGACCACATACACACGGGGCGATAAGGGAACTTTGGTTCCTCTCAAAAACTGAATGAATAAACATACCTGACCGCCGATTTGAGCCAGAAGTCCGAAGAACGTCAGCGTGTGAACTTCAGTGATCTGTTCGTATTGCAAATCTTCGAATGACATGTCAGCTCTGCAAATTAGGAGGAACTGAACACGATGTCAAATTTGACGTAAAACAGTCACACGCTGCCCATATCAATAGGTGATCTCAGATGATGGATTCGCAAGAAGGGTGGAAGGATAGTCCAAGCGAAAGGAGCGAGTTTTTGTCGGTAGGATCATGCATGATATGTAGCACACCTGAACGAATATTTCGAATTATTCGACGGTCTCATAAAGCCAGGACCTACTGTTCGATCAACCATTATGTTGTACTCCCATCGCGTGCATGGTAGTGTGCACTGAAAGTCATACATTACAAATGGACAAATATGTGATGGTAACTGCAAGAAACTGAACATAGAACGAGCTTTGTTTTTGTGCTTATCAAATGAGTTATAGATGGATAGGTATATGATAACGTATTCGAACAATGATAAATGAGGCTATTCCAAGTGAGATCACAATGAAATGAGACAAGTGATTACTTACATCATGCGAGAAATAACTTTTTGCATTCACAGTGTTCTGGTAATGGGCAACAAGAATTTCAGCGTCACAGCTAAAATTTGAAATTGAAATTCAATCTCAAAAACTGACCATTTGAATGAGTGATAGCATTGTCAACAAAACATATTTGGTCAAAACTTTCCACTCCAACATCATTTCAGAAGAACGATAGGCGAACAACTATTAAATGAATCAGTTCAATAGAATCATATCATCTGAGAGGTGTATATCTCCAAACGCCCGGAAACATGATTACCTCAAAACGCAATAAATGCTGACCTTGGTAGAGTAACATTTCGAATTTCGTTCATATATGGATACGTGCAGCGATACGGTTTCTCAAGATTGTCTACCAACCATTTCATCAAGTAACATGTTGCCTTACCAACTTTCGAATATTCGTTACTGCAGTGCTGTAACATTCGAGAGAATGTCACATGAAAGTTGAAACTCAAGGGTTCCCAATGAGAACACTGCATTTCTTGTTAAAGCGTTGAAAAACGCACCTCAGATCCAGGGAGCAAGTTGAAGTACGTTGCTGACATCCGAAATTTGTTGTACATATTTTGATAGATGTAGTACCTTGGATATGGCTCAATATCTGGCTTCGCATCACCGATGAATATCAACATTTCATCCTTCAAAAAATACCGCTTCAATGAAGAGTTGTTTGAGAAAAATGAAGAAGTTTATAAAATGAAAAGAGACAGACCCCTCTATCTTGCTATTAGCATAGTAATTCAATTTGAGCAATCAGCTAAAATCAGGCTTATTTCAACGCTCGCACATTTGGAATGGCATTTTGATGAGCGACACTGTGAAACCTCGTAGAGACGAAAAGCAAAAAACAAAACGGATGTTTTATGAAGTGATCGATCAACCTCTGGTTCCATCGAATTATTCATGACGTCTGCTTTGCGCAGCTGTACTCTCAATTTACCAAGTTCATCGAGACTTTTTTGATAGAGCGGTTGTGCGGTCTTGAAACATCTACCGCGACGTATTGTATAGATCGGCTTGAAAATCTGAAGATCAATTGAGCGTGCAGTTGGCAATTATGGCTCGCATCAGATTTAACTTTTTCCTTCTTTCGATTCTGCTCCTGATTAAAGAAATCAACTCCACACTCGGGGGATGCAATTAGCGCGATCAGTTCTCAAAATCAGTTTTGAAATGCCCCTCTGTATGCTTTGCAGGAGCGAATCCCGATTTTTGAGACAGGCGATCGGAACTTTTCGAACCGATAGCCTTCATTCAGTCCGAATCTCTTCACAGTGGCTATGAATCTGCTCGAGATGCCGAAATTCTTAATTTGCGTCAATGTACGCACAAACGTACAATGCAGTTACCTCACAACAGTCTAATTCCGCCTGTCCAAGTGTACAAAGTTGAAACAGATGTCTGCATTGCAATCCGAATGTGTTGAAAAACTGCAAAAAAAATAATTCAGTCCTCATTATCGGATGATCCCACCGATATCAATTGCTTTTTTGATTGGAATTCATAAATTTTTCTCTCGCTCAAAGAGATGATTCCCATACGGAATAATAATCGAAAAAAATAACCGTCATGCTAGCAGTCGTAAAAAATCGTGAGATATGCACAATGGAACATGCGAATGAAATAAACTGATGCAAAATCTTATTATGATTCATCATTTTGCTCAACGATTTGATGTGCAAGCAACAATTCAGTGCACCTCATGAACTATGAGAACTGCTTGCTTTCCTATTCAAACCTGATAAAAAAATTCCCTTGTACTGGTGCCATTTCGCATTTGGTCGTAAATATTCGTCAGATAATTGATAAATGATGCGTTCCAGCTGTCAACAAATCTATCCATTTTCTGCAAGCATAGTCAAGCTGTCTATTTCGAAGATTCCCATCACTTAACTGTTAATCTAGTGTTTGAGAGAAGAAAGAAATGGTCTCGGTTATTGCTTGGGGGATCAGCCCTTTTAATAACTCACCTGAAATCCACTTCCAGCAATCATGAAAATAGCAAAATTGAAAACTGCTGTATCAGTGATATCATCGAACTGTGCTTGATTTCGCATGGTGTTAGCCAGCAGCGTAACGTTGATGGTCATCGGTGTTGCAGGGCATATCGTTACTTGTGGTAATAGCATCTGTTCCACCTGTTAGAATCAATATTTTGAAAATATTCTCATCAGTGAGATTTGAATGCAAGTCATTTTACTTTTCTTAAGTGTATGAATGAGAATGCACCCGGGAGAGTAAATTCCAGTCTTGAAGAGAGGGTTTACTTGAAGCCCAACAACCTGACAAATATAATCAGCATATTTCGGTCTAAGATAATTTCCAACTACAATTTTACTCCCATATTCGTTTGCTCAATAGTTATCAATCGCTAATGAACATTGCAGTACAACATACAAATTGTCACAATATTCCCGTTTCTCTTCATTTCACTGGAGATTAACATTTACAAACAGATGTTTGCATTGAAAGTTGCACATTTTCTGACAGTCAGCTCTGAATTTACTTTGATAGTGACCGTTGTTCAACAAAATCATTGGACGAAGGAATTTACGCTCTCATCAATCACACACCAAGATTGTCTTGTAGTGAAATGTGACCGTCACATCGTACAACCGATAAGGCGGCTTCAACGTCACACTCATAAACGTTAAGCCATTCGATATTTGATCTCTTTCAGTCCCTCTTCAACTAATCGAAAAGTATCTCTCATTGTTATGGAATGATACAAATTTGATCATAATCTGAAGGAACTACAGTTTATTGGGTGATGGAACTGTACTATATTGGCATTCACTTTGATTGAAACGAACCGATTTAATGCTGAGATGAATAGTCGTCGGTTTGTCGATATACTCTTGAATCATCCTGAAAGAGAAAAGCTTCAAATATATTGCAAATGCTTTCATTAAACCTGTAAAAGTTCACACATCTGAATAAGTGTGTCAAAAACAAGCTGTTAAATTGATTGGAATATTAGATCATCGATAAGCCTTCAAACATAACGCTACTCTCAAGCATCCCGATTCTTATTTGTGAAAACACTACGAACAGGCAAGCACTCTCCGAAATACGAAAATTATTAGTAACATGCCACCGCCTTCATTTCCCATGACAGAAATTGTAGCATCCGTTCAAATAAAAGCGATTTTATTTGTGGTAACGAGTAAGGACAAAATATGAAGTAGTGACGAGTGGTAGATGCTTAAGAAATATAGCAACAATATAAGCTGCTGAAACAAATTACCTGTAAACAGTATATGAGCTGGACGCAATAAGAATGAAAACAATTGTGAACCAAAGTATTTTGAACCAACTGTGTTTAGCCTTTATAACATCTCGGATGCCCAGATAATCTATTCCTGGATAGTCGTATGCTAGTGTTTGATGAATGAATTCAGATTTTGAAGTCTTTTTCGGCGCTTGTTGATCTCTCATACGCATTCTTAGGACTTCGTCGCTTGTTAATTCCGTCGGTTGAATCATCACTAGGTGTGCAAAAACATCATTCTTGATATGCCATTGTAGGGGTGACCACGTGCAAAAGCGAATGTGAAAGGTCATCATCACAAGGTATATTGTTCGAACATTTTAGACGTTCACATATCTAGAATTCCTAAGAGGTTTTCCCCCTATCGAGGTATCTGCTAGTATAGCTCATCCATCTGTGGGCATGACCGATTTTCTGGGAGGCCTCGAGATCACTCCCGATTAAAATTCGACTATATTAAATTTGACAGCACTTATCGTCGTTCTCTCGAACTATTGATGAGTGATTTCATTATGCTGATGTAAATTTCGCTTGCCCGAAGAACTGGTGAAATCTGACAGTGTTACGAATAAACAGTCACTGAGGAGAACATATGCTGATGAAAGAATTACAGTCCACCAAATGATCGTTTGGTAACGACTGATTCGCAGTTCGAGGGGATTTAAAATTATCTATAAATGTTAGTCATTGTAGCTAGAATTCCATTTCAGGCACTTATTGAATTCAAAGTTTCAGTCACTTAATCGGGAAATTCTTTCAGAGGATCGTTCGAAGACCAGAAAATTGATCGACAACTTCTCTCATAAAATGAAACGTGATTTATGCAGTATAGCTGAAACTTCCGCAATTCTGAATATAGAACCGAACGAGTCTATTGTACCCGAAGAAAACGTGACGAAAGACTAGCGATATTAACTGATGTTGGAACATGATAAGGATAATGAACGCTTTCAAAAAAAAGCTGTGAAAAAATTATGAATTGTTCAGACATTTTCATACTTCTCTCTGTAAAGTTCGAAAAAAGTATCAATGGAATGGAATGTAGTAAATAATATTAATACCGCAAACAGTTTTGTTCTCTCTTTTTTTTAAATCGTCTTAAAATGTCAAGAATAGTCCAAAACATTCATTCATAAAAGCCGCAATCGTTCAAAAATTTTAACTACAATTATAGATTCATTCTCGCAAGCATGATGCATAGCGGTATTATATCTATACTGCCCGTTGCATGAATATAATAACGTTTTGTAAATCGAATTAATCTGTCTGATTTGATATGTACTTATTTGTGTGCATGCATATATGTGTGTGTTTGTGCTTATGATTGATTTAATGAATCAATGCATCACTTATTGTCATTGTTCCAAACGCAAGAAAAATCTTATAATTTTCGAACGTGAAGTGAAGCAGCGAAAATGGTTACCACGCTCATCAAATGTGTGGGATCATATGTCGACCATGAACTGGTAATAAATGGTAGAATGGGTGAGAGATTGCCGGGCAAAAGATTCCAACTAAACTGAGCGAAAGTTCTGAAAAAAAAATCGAGTAGCGGAAGTTTTAGTGTGAACGAAAATTTTGAGCGACGTTTTTTTATTTCGTACTTGGTGACTGATACAAACCAATAACTCAAAAAAAAAACATTTAAATTAATTTATGAATAGCAAGGCTATCAGAATTCAATACAACGGTTCGTTTTATCTCGGCAATTGGTAATATAAACGATTCGGAGAAATTGTTTGCTTAGATACAAGTTATGAATGTGCTCGAACAAGAAACTTAAAGTGTTGCGAACAAATGGAATTCATAACGCACAATATGTATCAATCAGTTTCGAATAATATCCATTCAAACATTCCTGATATGATGCATGCACGATAGCTGAGAAATTAATTTCATTGTGATACAATTCAATAATAATATGTAGTATGATAATAATCCGTCCACGTTAATACCAAATTCAATTTGGGATTTATGTTGCGCATAATCTACATGGAAAATATTTTGCGTTGCCTGATCAAATGTGTAACGCTGCACATAAAATAGTGTGTTGTAAAATGAAATGCTGAATCATCGAAATTAACCACCGTCATTATACGTTGCACATACATCATTCTGGTTCTCATTACCAGAATTGTTTCGATTCTTCAGATGGTCGACAATGTTTTAACCCCATGATAAGGTTCAGATATGACTCGGAGCAACCTTATCCGTTGTCGCCTCCCAGAATTTGAGTCGCTTTAATGGTCCAATTGATGCAAGCATTACCCTCCAGCTGGTCGAGCGGAATGTATGGTTGTTCTTGCCAGCATCTTTGTGCCATTTCAGATTTAAAACTTGTCCCCAGAAAGACGCAATAGTTGGTGAAGGAACAGTGAATTTAGCAATGCTCTTCACTTCTCATCATTGTGAAAGGATTTCGGTTGTGGGTAATGAAAGACTGCATGTGTTATTCGAGACTGTAGGTGGATCCGACAAAAAGCACTGCAATCAGGTCTGACAAAAGAACGTGTGTATTTCAAGAATACTTTAGCGTTGTTGATAGTGCAGAATATTTTTCATTCTATCATTCGTCTCTTTATGGCACGCACTCATAGTAATTACATTCGTTTAGCGTGCACCTCAATAGTTATTGTAACTTATTACCATTTCATAACCACCACTGACACTATTACCAGTTAATTAGTAATATGAAATTCATCCTCTGCTGCATGAATAATCCAATATGTAATCCACTCGGATAATACACTATGAGCGAATCACGTCGAAAAAATATTTCGTGTGCTATTTCTAGACACTCCATTTTTCCGTATTTGCAGTGCACAACTATATCCATGCACACGTAGCTTATCCTTTTATATTTCAACTAACAAATCACCAAAACGTGCGATCGAAATGAGAATGAAGCGGACGAACAATGAACCTCTTTATGTAGAGAGCACAATGTTGTAACTTAAAGCAGTCCATTGATTCTCATTTATTCACTTTTACGACATGCCATAATATCATCACGAAATCCATACAGCAATGATGACTTATTGGGTTTCGATTGTAAGCATTTTTGAATTGATCTTGAGCAATAATGACAACAACAAAGAGAACATTTATTGCTCAGGTAGGCAGGTTCGCTTCGTGATTATTCTTGTTACACTGGAACTTGAATAATCTCTTTCAAACTCATTCATTTAACTCACAATTATTAAAAAGTCGCAATTTATGGTTATTTTAATAATCACCTGAAATTTCAAATCATTTTTTTCGTACTTTTAAAGGCGGACAGAATACAATCAGTGGCGATAAACCGAACATCGATCATAGTTGTCTTAAATGAGGTGATAGGAATGCAAGAAAATTGTACGATGTCATCGAAGTTTACGTGAATCCTTCATTCACGCATGAATACTTGGTGCTGTTCAACGGCACCGAAGCGGGTCGTATTCTGAGGAACACTGCCCGGCCACAATGTACGACCGTTTATGGTGCGACAAACACTCGGTCCAGCAATAACACTGATGGGAACCACTTGCTTAGCGTTTGAACTCAACGCAGCTCGTGGACTCTGTGATATTCCAAGTATTTGCTTTACGATTTTATTGTATTGATTCACTGCTATTATAGTAATGAGTGGATTCACCGAGAGATATATACACGTTAAGCCATTGATCACTATCCAGAATACGTCCGGAAAATGGATTTTAGAATCTAAAGAAATTATATTTCGATCATTCAAACTTGCTTGAAGACAATTGAAAGCCGAATTTGAATTATTTGAAGTTGTCTGAATATGAATCTGACTTGATAACTCGATATGAGCAACAACCATATTGTTCTTCTTCATTGCGAAATACTTAATGTGCCTAATTCTGAAGTGCCTAATGAGATAATACCCTTGAAAAGTATCAATGATTTTTGCTGTATACTAATCCTTATGTGTCACCCAAAATTTGCTCCTGAAGAAGATTATGAGAGGAGTAACAGTACTTTCAAGCAAGAATCACCATTGTTCCACTCGAATATTTTGTTGAATTCAGATCCATACGTTTGATAAAATAACTAACAACCGCTAGGAACTAACTGATGAAGAAAGCTACTTCACCCACTGAAGCCGGTAAAACGAAGAAGCACGGTATCAGGGTTTGTGCCAGCAAACCATACACACACTTTTGCCAGTAATTCACTTCATTCACTTTTTTGATTATTGCTCCAACTGAAATTAAAGTTTTTTGATCAACACTTTGCATGAGACCAATCGACAACAATCTACTGATCACAAATGAGAGATCAGATTGAGACATTCGAATCTTCAGCTGTTCAGGAATTGATTAGCCAACATCAAACGAATTTCAGTGAGGTCGTGCAGAATGAGATAATCATCGCTGTTTGCAGTCCGGGAAGAGATTTCTGTATTTTTGATCTACTCATCTTCGTGTGAAAAGATTCGAGAAGAAAATAGCCAATAATCAAATGAATGAAAGAGTAAATGAACAAGACAATTGACTTGCCCTTTTGTCTGTAACGATACAAATAGAACAGAATGCGTAAGTTCAGAAGCAGTGCACTTAGAATCGATAACGGCACCACGGGTAGTAGAACAATTGACACAATAAAAGGTAGTTTAGCTGTAGGACCACAAATATCTTCCATACCGATAATACCGAATGCAAATTGCAAAGTGCTTAGAACGCCATGCTAGAAAGTTATGCTTGTGCTCAGCACCGAAACACTTCAAGAAAATACAGTCATATTAATAATGATACTATTGATACATCTTTCTGTTTCGAGCAAAACATCCCATCCCGCCTTGCTAGAGACTAGAACTTGCGGTGCGGGGAAAAGTTTTGCTCCAAATCAAATGAGGAGAAACGTTATCAAGTCTGAGCTAAGCAACGATTTGGCATGCATCGAATTATTCCTTGCGATCAGCAATAATAACATATGGTTCCGTTAGTCACAGTGAAATTATGAAACGTCAATTGCAGCAGCGTAATCCTCGTAACTGTTCATCGACAACGTGGAGAGCAGGCAAATGAATGAAAAAATCATTAGTGACTTACGCAATAAAAGAAAACGCAGCAAAAAAGAAAGATGATGGTGCAGCCACTGAAATTTATGTTCCAAACAATTAACATGAATCGATGGAATGCAACTACCTGAAATATCACAAATTTGATAAAAATTTACATTTATTCTTGTCAACAATATAGTAATAGTAGTTGCGACGTATTTGATTTGTTGGCTAACAATATAAAAAATGTTAGAGACTGATTCTTAAATCTAATCTATGCTATGATCTTATAACTCACCAGAAGTGATAAATGGCTTGAGCTGAGCGTCACCCCAAGAATCCGTCGTATCAAGCTGCAAGAAAGGACCGTCATTGGGATATCGTAGCTTAGTGAGATCAGATACCATGTATACATTGTCGACAAACCACAAGACGCGTACAGATTGTACAATGTCATTCCCATTATGGAATACTGCAAATTCAATCTAATTAGTTGAAATGCCTAATCAAGTAATTGAAAAACCACATAGTGTTCACTTCATGATACCACTAATTACTTAATTGCAGGGTTCAACTGTCTAAAAATATTGTTGAATTCATATGAATGCGTTCACGAAACCACGAAATATCTAGATTGCAAATTCATATCCTTTAAGAGCAGGTGGAATGAGAAGGAGAATAAAATACTGCTTGAACCTGAACAGAATCATGATTACACCGACCATTCGACCGTAAATGTCGCCTTGAGGTCTTTTGGAACATTTGAAAGAGGTATAAAAAATTAAACAAATTAGAAATAAATCCTTGCCTTGGTCGCGCCATCAACGTCTTCGGTACGAAGCGATAGATACGTCACGAAAAGATTCAGCGGTATGGCAGGTATTATGCACGCAAAATTCACGATACAATCCGGTAAGTATGCTTCTTGAACATGTGTTATGCTGCCGAATGTATAGTTCATTGAGCGCGTCTAGATTCTGCAAGAGTAATTCCATTTCGGCTTGAATTGTCAACCGAAACCACTTCGAAACGTTCAAGAAAACAACCAAAAATCGCTTCAAAAGCTGTGAAATAGGAGAAAAAGAGAAGGAAATCAATTAAAATATTGCAACTGGCTGTTCTTTAGATTATGATATCTATAAGCGATAAATAATTCTAATCAGCAGTCACCATATTTGATCACATTTCAAATTGCGCTGACCCTAGTCGGAGTTCACTTCAAAAACAATGTTGTTTCATGAAACGTACAAAACTCAGAGGAATTCTATCAAAGTAACGGTCGTTCGCATAGAAAATTGAGAATATTCCATTCCAGAACAATTCTAATCGGGCAGAGTTACTGGATTATTCCTGGAAAGTGGAATGAATTGGTGATTGATGACTGAATGCAGATTACTGAAATCAGCGATTGATGGTATGAATAGAGATTGATAGAATAGAGCTCCTCTTTCTCGTCAGATTAAATCAGGTGCGAAACGATAGGTGATCACTATCAAAACACGGTGGGCTTTATGGAATGAAAGCGGTAGGTGAGTAAAAGTCTAAAGGAGAAAGTGATTACGATACGATAGTGACGAGTTATGAAGAGCGCTTTTAAAGTAAATGAATGAACTATTGGGATGATTGACCACAAGCGAATCATTCGCCTACATTTTGTCGTAAAATCAGGTTAAAGCAAGACGCCCGAAGAAGGCAGTCGCTTAATCTACTTAAAAGTGATTCAGTTACTTGCTTATGCTGTGAAATGGTATTTTTTGTCAATAAAGTAATTAAATTGAAATTCTTTGGCTTGATTGAATTCAAAACGTCCAATTCAATTCAAATGACGATGTCGACCTTAATAAAGCTTGACACTAACCGACCGAGTATTCATATGAACAAAGAATGCCTATCACACACTTGGGCGAGATGAAGTAAGAAATATATCTCTGACCATCGCGTTCAAAAGCCGCATCGATAGGGGCTGAATGTATTCATGTAATTAACAAGGCATAAAACACATCTGCTAACAGATTCCATGGTAAATATTATTACTATCCGCATCATCGCAATTTCATTTCTCAACGGATATAGCTTTAGAAAGGAACACCCCTTGTAAAGCGGTTTTGCTTCCTGAGACTATATCCGCTGTGATAATGGCCTCATATATCATATCGTTTGCAGTACTTTGAACTTCATTTTGTACAGAATTCAACATTTAAATTAAAATCAATATGGAACTGTTACATGAAACCGAATAACTAGCACGACCTCCAAGTGTAGGTGTTACAAAGAGTGATAACCACTGCAACAATATCAGCTGGGATTATGGAGTGATAACTATTAAACTACAATGATTTGTTTCGCTCGAACTGATGGTGGATACTTGCTCCAAATATGATCACGAGCCAGTCCTGGATTTCTCAATTTCTTTAGTAACCAAACTGTCGACCGCTTGAACTTACTTTCTGTTCTCCTGGCATTGACATGAGATATCTGTGAGATCAGGTGTTAGCTGAACAGCAACTGAATCCAAGGCTTGCAAGGAGTTGCAGCTTTCCAAACTGATTCCGAAGATTACCAAGGATCAAAAAAGATGGAAAGTGCAGAAGAGAAGCGATTAAAATCACGATCAGTGATAAAAAGGGGCACCTGGTCAGGACGAACCGTTCAACATAGCAACTAACAATAGTAATGATAACTGAATGAATGAAGTTAAGAATGCAAAAATGATGCGTGTCGAGATAGATGCGTTAGCAATGATGATCAATTGTTGTTTTAATGACTTTTATAAAGTGACAATTATCTGATAATGGGCATTAATGATGTTAACAACAAGAATAATCTGTCTAGTTGGAAGCGTTATTAATTAGACTGCTACTCATTCTTTTTACACAAGTCACTCTCGAATACAAATTTAGTATTGCAGAAGGAGTATTTACGATAACGAGAATACAAATTTAGTAGAGTCAACCTCCTGCATTAGCATAATCCATGAAGCATAATCCATCAGCATAATCCATAATCCATCACTTCCTGCATTTTAAAAAATCCTTCATATAGAATACGATACAATTGTCGGACTTATATTGAGTCGTTTCTAATGGGATCGCCTCTCAAGAATATCATAAAGACCACTGATTCTCACAATGGGAAGATGAAAGTTCGCAGCGATTGGAAATTTGAGTAAAGTGAGGAGGTTTGTGAACCGGTGTTGATTGATCTTCAAAAATATTCCTTCTGCAGTTCCAAAAGTATCCAGTTTTGAAATGTTTCTTTGACCATAATGAGTTAATTTCTTTGAGAACACCGGCGAATCGTGGGCGAAAATGAGAGAGCGAACTTCTTGATTGATCGGTAAGAATTTGTCGATAAAGAGCAAAAGATTGTGAAAGAAGAAGGATTGTATTTTGAATGGAGAAACTGTGATCTGTAAAGAAGGGCACAGAGCGTGAGAATCACTGATATAGGAGCACGTGAGATGCTTTTATTGTTCTCCAGCTTGAAAATGTGATGCAATTGCAATAAGGTGCACGAGATCACGCGGAAGGCTCAACTTTTCATGTTATTATAATTGCTGCTGCTCACATTGCTTAATTTCTGACCTGTTTCAAGCAAATAAACGCTCACTGAAGCTGAGCAGGAAAGTGTGTTCATTCAAAACATGAAAATAAATGTATATTCGCGTTTCATTCTAATCAAAAATCATTGTCAGAGCGTGTCTATAGCACTACTCATGATAATATTGCTGATTAATACGCAGGCTCTTACTCGTTCTCTTAATATGAGTTTAAATCACATCAGAATCCATTGAAATAGTATAGCGAGTTTCATATGGTTCAGCGGGCAATTCTTCGCGAGGAAGCTAAAGCAGTTCCATTGCTTGATTCACAGTAGCAGCCTGTTGGGTGCTCAGTTCAAATAACTTTCAAGTAATTCAAAAAAAAATCCGTCGAATTCCCATTGATGCTTTCTTCTTTGGGATGTTTCACAGGAACATTTCAGTGGATTTTAATTATACAATGTTGCAAGTAGGCAGGTTAAGGAAATAGTTTATTCACTGTATGAAGTATGGATGCGAAAAGTATATATGAATACGGATTCTTGAAAAATCAAACTGATAGTTGACCAGTTTTGCGAAGGAATCACACTCGGTTCTATTCAAATATCGATTTTGTGTTATTAAGTGACTGTGATCACCTCTTTACCACTACTTCCAACGAATAACACGCGTGGTATATTTTCGGTCAAACAATCCATATAGGTCATGTAACGATGCACAACATCGTTGATTTTCATCGGCGGTTGGAGAAGATTTAGAAGGACTAGTTGTGAGCTTCTTGAATTCTCCAGAATCACTTGATTCAAGTGCTTCGCCATGCTTAACCAGTTCATCTAAAAGCTAACATATTTTCATCGAAGCAAAAATACATTATCTCATCTTACAAAATGTAAACTGCCGAGATCCATATGGGTCAGAAGGCAGCCCTAATAAAAAATTAGGTCCTGCGCTAATGGTTACAGCTCAGTTTACTTTAGAGCCGACTCAAGATTCCAGCTCAAGTTTATTTCGCTTAAGCTAACAGTTGTGAATGCTCATTCATCGAATTCACTAAAATGCATTCAACCTTGCAGTTGAAAATTTGTTCATTCGTGAGAATGCCAGTGCCAGGATCGCCTTCCACAGAATCCTCTGAGAATCTCACCATAGAAACATGCTTTGTATTCCTAAAAAAACGTTTCAGTCAAAAGTGAACGGAACACTGATAAAATTGTAACAGTCATGAAGTGACTGCAACTCGTGAGATGCATGAAACCTTAAACTAACTCCTCCGTGAATGATGTTTCCATTAGTGCATTTTCACCATTTTTGTTGTTCACTTCCTCTGAAATGAACAAGAAGATTACGCAACTGTAAACAATATTCAACATTCAGTGCAAGCGGCAGCTGTCTCGGATAAAGCTTGAATGAAGCATATCGTTTCATTTAGCATCTGCATTCTGTGCGGGTGATCGAATCTCATCTCACCGATCACTAATGTTGAATTACGAGTAGATCATTCAGGAAGCGTTTCGATGAATGAGCAAGATATAAAATAGCACGTTAATGGATCTTCCGGATTTAGAATCGGATATTAATGAAGTTAGAAGATAGCGTCGATGAATGATCAGGATATGCGATGGGATGTTACAAAGTGGCTATCATAGATTATTCACTTGTAAACTGTTCAAATTGAGAAGCGCATTATCCGAGCCAAAAATTCTTCGAAAATAATTTACGTTTCGAAGTTGTGCTGTTCAATTTGCATGCATCAAAGCATTTCGTATTGGTATAGCAAAAAATAAATCAACGTAAATCTGGATTAGAGATGGCTGCAGACCGAGAGCAGCGTATATGGAATCCGAGATTGGTAACGTTACTAAGAAATTGATCGACTATCAAACTGAGATCACACTTTTTGCGCAAATATAGCAGATAGAAATAATCAATGGTTAAACTGCTAATGACAGACAAATGTGCGAAACAAGTCCCAAGGGAAATACTGCAATCTGATAGTGAGCCATCATCTTCGATGCAATTCCTGGGTAATATTTATAGTTGCTAATTTGCAAACTTTTCTGCTCAAAAACATCCGTTCCAGCTTGACAATCGGACACATTGTCAAGCTCCTGCTAACAATAAATATTTCCGGTTTTGTCCTCGATTTGTCATTAAAGGAATTATGACAATCAAAATATGATGCACAAAGCAACTACAATTTCACCTTCGTTCTGCTCATCTGATATGGTGACTTCTTTGAATGATCCTTGTTGTTCGAGTGGAGGAGAGCAGTGCTCATCATGCTGAATGAAAGTGTTGAATGGTTTATTGCGAATAGTATTTTCCTCAAATAATTGAACTTCAACGATGCTATGTGCGCAATATTTAACGTCAAGAGTCACCTTTCAGGTAATACACTTCACATGAAATCCTGATCCTAAATTTACTACCCCTTTCTGATATCATTCAAGGAAAAATTCTCTGTCGAAATGTTGATTCTCAATATGGACTGGGACAGAATGTAGGCAAAATATAAGTAATTCATTAAAGGTTTTAGCTGACGAGAGACGATTCAGTTGCTGAAGGATAAAATGCAAGTGATTCAGCAACTTCTTGAAATCAATGCGAAATTTGAATTCTGTTCTCAAATGACGTGACCATTCAGCAGATTATTCTGTATTACCAATGATGTTATATCGCCATTAACCACGGTTGCGACGAATTTACTTTCGAAACGTTTCGGCTGTCGAAGAGCACTGTGCGGTGCTGCTGTTTTGGTGTCGCTGTTTGACGGCATTGTGAAATCAACTATCTGAAATCTTGTTAACGTTCGATTTGTTGACATCAGCAAATTAAAAAAATTTTGCATAATTACGCGAATATCCTGTGAAAACTCATAATTAGAAATCATGCAATATTACAATGTGCGATGGCTGCATTCTCTAAAAGCAGTCGAATCATTTGAAAATCATCAACACTTTCAAAGAATTAAGCAAGTTTTATAATAAATTCAAAAACAACGAAGTGTCGATATATCATAACGAATTCATGTGGGTTCCATTATCATGAACATTCGAATGTCTTTTCGCTGCGTACTGAATCATTGATACATGCAATTACATCGATCAAAAATAGGTTCCTCACAAAAACTGCTGCATCGATCCGCAGCATGTAGATGTATTTTTGCAACATTTTCTTCATTTCATCGTTCTTCTGCGGCTTCTCAGCAATTGCGAAAATACGAAGTTGACAACCGCGCCAAACCTGGAATTATCACCATTTCATTTTGCCATGATACTTCCTTACAATTAGGATCAGCAAATTAGCGGTCAGCGAAAAAGGAGGAGTTGCCTACGTGGCATTTACTACATAAGATGTATAGGTAAGATTATTTCAGTGAATTGCAAACTGATCTGCAATCTAGGACGAAAACCATCCACAGTTGAGTTCTTCGTGACCAAAATTTGGTCAATGAGCAGTTTTCGGATTACTGAATATGAGTTTATTTTTGTAAGTTCATCAGAAGTTTCCTGCTAAGTTGGCATTCGTCCGGAGAAATCTTTCAAAGACTGATCGAAAGAAAAGTGAAAAAAACGAACTTTATGTTGCCTCAAAAGAAATGCGATCAACATCAATATTCCACCATCATGCGATATCCACCAAATATCGATGAAACCGCTCAGACGACTTGTGGATTGTGGGAAATCAGTGATACCTTTCGTGATCATTATGCATTCGTCGTTCACAACCGCACCAACCAATTTTACTGAAGAAGCAATCGATTCATTGAAAATGAGACTTTCATTAGCAATCAGTCTGAATGCAACTAATTGTTCGGCTCCGAGCAAAGTCGTTCTTTTTCACAACCTTTGATGCTAGGTGAAAATCAGTGGAGGTATTGAAAATGATTCAGTAGACTCGACCAGTGGCAGCTTTCTGAAAATGTTACCCGCAAAAATTGTATGCTCTTGATCACTGTTCGGCCAGTTGATGAGCACCGTATTCGGTTTAAGACCACCAATACCAATACTTTGATAAAGAGTTGACACGCACCCGTCAATCTTAAATAGTTATACGATCAAGCACTGAGGGCGATTCGAAGCACTCGGATAGCAGCTCATCTGACTGATTCGAAGAAAATATTTGCATGTATCAAAGTCAGTTCGTAAATTACTAAGAACTTGCAATTTATGCCTCAACTCAGTATTAGATTATATAGACCAGTGGTTCCCAATTTTTCGGCTTATGGCCCATCTGGGCTAACAACCATAAGATCTGAATCAGGTGCGACAATTTCAAGATGTTCATTCTGCTTTACCAAAGTCACCCCTCCGCTTGTCGTTGTCGCTTACTTTTGGGCGATACTACTCATGTTGCGATGCGCTTATGTAAACGAAGATTGTATATGTGATTGGAGGGGTCGATAAAATATTCTTTAAGTGTGACGTTTTTTGAAGAACATTACAAAATTGATAGTTGCTACAAATTCCGATCGTTCTTGATCTCAATTTTAGAATTTACGATCTGATAGTTTTTTTGCCTTTCATTAAACCTTCAACCTTCCGCAGACCTTATCGTTGTGCTGGCAGTTTTGCAGTGTAGATGGGTCATGAGCGTCGGGCTTCTTTAGTGAATTTAATCCTACTTTTTATTTATGAAAAAATTTCTGCATGAAGCCTTCGAATCGCAGCTCTCATGGTTTATCTTCGTGCTTGTTCACATTAGGTAGTCTACAGAAACTAACTTCGGTATCATTGAAGAGTAAAGTCTTGCCAAATCCTCGCAATCTTGCCTGTGCCATATCTCGTTGGATTCTTTCTTTCACCTTAAATGCATATATCTTCGGTTATTTGACGTTTGCAGCTTTTATCGCCATTAACTGACTGATTTTGAGCAACAGTTTGGTACTGGTTGGCCAGATTTTGCAGTTCAAAATCAGACTGTTGTCACCGAGCAATCTTTTGCTGAAGTTGATATTGAAAATTTTAAGATGACCTCTTCAGCTTTACTCCTATCCGCTGCGTTCGCATTTGATCCTTTAACAAATGCAACAACGATTGCTAGTCCACGACCTGCCTTGAGTTGACTAGCCAAATTCAACATGTTCACGCAACGCATATCAATGATCTCTTTTGACCACTGTCCATCAGCCAGCACAAGTAGTTGAGGCCTTAATTACCAACTTAAACAGTCCTATGAAGGAACTCTAGGCGACTTGAATTCTCGAAAAGTTTGAAATGGTTTCTCAGAACTCTTTACAAGTTCACTTCTTAGGTTTCCAGCAATCCAACTGAGTTGACTCAAAACGACTTGATTCAATAATCTCGTTTGGTTCACTATGTTTTGCGACTAACTGAGTGTCTCATCTTATCTGAAATGGCCGTTATAAATTTTCATTAAGATTTAATAGTGATAACCTCCAATTTTTGGGATGCGGGTCTTTATCTTCAACTTTCATTAAACTGTATTGTGCAGTTGAGAGCGCCAGCCCTCTAATACCATCGCCCCATTCTTTTTTGGCTCTGTAATAAAATTTGCATCAGAGAAATTCCCTGCCGACGGCATTCAGTTGAGCTCTTTCCATGCCGACAGTTTTTTTATTCACGGGGATTTCACCTCTAGGCAATAAACTTTCCCAACGTTTATATCACAATTGATTCAACTGTCCGATTCTTTTTCCTCAAACTCTGTTCAGAGCATTGCCTCAGTTCGATAAATCGCCATAAATTTTCATAGCATCCTTTCGAGTGGACATTCAAAATGCTACCCTTTCCATTCAACATATTTATAGATGACGAGTGTGAGAAGAATTGAGAGGATCGCATATTGCCATTGAGATGCGAACATGATGAAGAAACACAAACCCGCACCCATCACGGACAGCGACCTGACATATTATTTCACTATTTCATCGAATAGGAAGCATAATAAGAAATAAAATGTTTTTATTCAGCGCGGAAGCATGCCCTTGAGAAATATGATTGCATGGCACTACATTCCCATTTTATAGATTTAAACTAGCGTTCATCAGCTGCAAATATAGTTCAGTTGAACCAGTGATGTGTATAGAAGTTTCTCCGAGAGTTATTTTGGAATTCTTATGGGAATGGAAAGCTTCGACCGTTCATCCATGACAAAAATGGGAAAGGTGAAAAAAGTCATATTAAAACCATCAGTTCTGCGGATTTTAAAGGGGTATTTGCGCAGTCCTATTCTTCCTCTATGCACGCCATAAGATTATTTGCTAGAATACTCTCGAACCGCAGACAGCCCTCAAAAGGTTAGCTCACCAGTGATAGTACTTGAATCTCGGTCGCCAGTTTGGTGCGCCGAGTAACGAATGAAGAGCACAAATAAGGTTCATGAATGCGTAACACATCAAGAAGAAGAAGTCCAAAACTTCGGCGATTGCATCGACAGCACCTAGTAAAATGGCGAATTCGGCGATGAATGATGTGAGGAGCAACCTAAAATTCCACATTTCACAGTTTGTTCTCATCTTTAAAACTCAGAAGATCCGAATTCCACTCCAATAGTTGATCGGACCGTTCCACTCTTATTTTCGGACTTGGAAGCTAGAGGATGATTTCTTAGATTGTGGGCAGATTGATTCTAGATAAAGATTGATTCCCTTCTGCTGAAGATACAGTTTTAATTATGTTACCAACAAAATGATCAGCTGATCCAAACCGGTTGTTTTGAATGTTGTGTTTCTTTGGAAATTATGCAAAAGTGTTTACCCAAGAAACGGTTCATTATATTTCGTAACACGACCGAACGGCGATAGTGCAGGAATGACGTCGTCTTTGGCGATTGATTGCAGAAGCCGTGGGGCACCTGAGTAATATCCTTTGTGATTAACAGATGATTTCGTTCTGACTTTCATTGATGAGTTACATGGAAATAATCTTACTGCATAAGCATTGAAGTGCAGCACCAAATGTCGATAGAAATGATCCAATTATGACAACCCATGGTGATGGCCACGATAACGAGGCTACTATCATGGAACTATCGATGCTTCGTCCATATCTCAATGAATGAACTACACTGATTGTCGATTATACTGAATTTCCAATTTCATGCGTGAGAGCTTCAGAATTTTTAGTTTGTGAGGGAGAACAATTTGAGTAAAATATGGGAAAAATTCATAGAGTTGAAGAGTATTGAGTTATTAAAATCATTTGACATTTCTTGTTCATTCGAGATTACTGGTTCATCGCACTATACACAGGTGAATATTAACTTGTCACGCAGAACTGGACCGGTGATGGATGCTCCAAAGAGCACAGCCAATGCGTAGTAAATCATTGATGTGGTCAGTGTTGCGGCTATAGTTCCACATGGTATTGAACGTTGTGCATCTTTCAGATCGCCTTCAAGTTGATTGTTTGCGATGGATAATCCAAAGTTGGTACGGGTAATGCGTTGGGGAAGAACTGCAGAACGTGATGACTATTACTAACCGCTCATATTCGTTCCGGTCATAATGCCGGTGACAGCCGGAAAGTAGATGGCGAGTAGTATGAAGAAACTAGTACGAACATCTTGTGACACTTCAAGACCGGTATTGTCAGCTGGTATCCCTGGATATGCTTCTCCGGCATCCATATACATCACTTGCATGTTTTCTGGAATTTCATTAGTACTGTCAAGTCGTCTCGGCACTATATTGTGTGAGGACGTGGAAACAGTTTTGCTTTTCGATTACTCACCTGACAGTGTTTTTGTGTTGAATCCCGGAAAGGCGTTCACACATGAAAGTGTTCCGGCTGTGAAATGACTGCAGAATGCCGCCGTAGTACTGTTGCAAAAATCGTCTGATATACTGAAACGTATATTGGAACTGTTCAAAGGGCAATGTTTTAACCTGTGCAGTGTGGTGCAGAATGAAAATCTCTTAACATGTTTTCGTGCATAGCATTCTCGATGAATTATTGATTGATTGTGTGGTCCGTATAGGTCTTGCCGGAGATTTTATAGTGAGTTCAGGATGATTCCTAATTGTTTCATTCCGAATGAGGCAATTCAATGATCGGAAACTTATACAGCATTGTCTTTTCGGATTGATGATAAATAACGTATTGTCACGAGACACCACTGATCTTGATGAAGCTCTGAGAGGGAATCTGCATCGGAAGTAATGACATTGGTTATAGAAAAAGGTGACTAAATGGATGAATCCATCCCAGATAAGAAATAACTGAGCGTACTCTTCGGACTTCACGCAGTAGTCGCATAAATGCGATAAATCGCCGCCATGTGGAAAGAAAACGCTTGAATGCAGTAATTGACTATTCAGCATGCATACACTGAAAATAATATCACGCTGCTTATTTTGATGACAACGATAAACTGATCTGTGTTAAATCCAACTAACTGTTGCCCATTTTGAAGTATGGATTTCTCGACACCTCCCGCAAAGCACGCAATAATCGAGACTATAACACACATCAGCGAGATCTGAAATCGTAGCATAATGTCAGATCTTACAGAAAATATTATTTCCGATTCACCGATCGGCAACTGATCACGAGAATGCGGAACGATGAAGTGCGGCCATTAAATCACGTAAACTAACCGGTGCGAGCAGCTGAACGAATCGTACTCCCATAGCGACAATTATCGTTTCGAGCAGCAAAAATGCAGTTCCGTATATTCGATAATTATGAGACATCATGCCCCAAACGCCTAAATGATTCATCAGCTCTGGCAGTTTTCACAAGAAATGTCTCTGCACTTGCAAATATAAAGTAACTTTTTTGAATGCCTCTCAATGATCTGATTCCGTCCGGAGGCAAGGTTTATTATGAATCCGGATGAAGAACTTTTTAGCCTTGTTTTAGAAGGTTTTTGATGCTCTCTTTACTTGACTTGTAATTCTAATTATGATGGAAAGAGTTCGAATGCTTCTAATGGAAGAATTAGAAACTGAATTTCATTGGGACATGAGAACCTGTATCTGAATGCACTTCATCGCCGCCGATCGTAAGCGAAGGAAATATGTATAGCTGAAATTTTAAAGTCAAAAATCTTTTCGAGTTGATTTTGTGGGTGATAGTGGATTGTACTGATTAATTCTGTGCTCAATCTTACGCATTTTAAGCTCGAAAGCACTCCCTTTCTACTTTATTTTTATCTTGAAAGCCTCCGATTCGTATGAGAATGAAAAGAATAGTTCAACAATAAGTATCCTGAATAGGTAAGAGTTTCATACCAACATCACTTCAACACCTCCAACCAAATACATAGATGCAGCTACCGTATTTGCTAGATAGAATAGAATCCCAATAGAACTTCCAAACTCTACACCCAAATTTCGAGATATCATGAAGTATGCACCCCCACTTTCTACCACTCCATTTGTTGCAACTGCTGATAGCGAGATAGTTGTTAGGAGGGTCTAAAAGTGGATTGTCATTTCTCGCGACTTTGCAGAAATTGTTCGAAATTCCTTTCGTGTGCAGGTCAACAACTGAGGCAAATTGAAGATTCCCAATCTATGAGAGTGTTCTATTATATGTGAAAACGTATCTTCCAAGAGGAGCCTCCGGGCAAATTATTCTCTCGAACATAATTGTAGGAATGTTGTTCCGTAAAGATATGGTCATAAATGATGTAAGATGATGGATGTATGGAAAACTCACACAAAGACAACAGCATAGCAGAAGTAACATTGTATGCCATAAACCCGCGATACCTACAACCCAAAATAGGCGAATGAACATCGTTACACCAAGTATGTGCTGAATTGTCGGCAGATATACACCGAGCATCACTCCAAGATTAGCCTACAAGGTGATGATCGTTATCGTCATTATTACACATATGAATAACAATTTTCAAAGTTTCTGAGTTATAAGCTTTATGATAATTGTATTTAAATATGACGATTTCGATTGCACTGTGGAGGTGAACTGATCAAATATCATTATTTGTATCTCGATGTGGTTGTAAGGTCAATTCCGTTCCTTCGATAGTCAATTAAAAACATTTATAATGACAAAATATCAATGTGCACTAGTTGTATTAGAATATCTGCTTGTAACGAGTATTTGCAAATCAGTATCACGTATTTATATGCGATAATCAATCTGAAGTATTTGCATCAGCAAGTCAACTAATCTTTTTGTAACATTGATGAAACATACCTTTTTCTTTTCGCTAACTTTACGTTCTTTTGGTCCTGGTGTAGTATAGGCACTAATAAATGTTGACTGTCCGTCAGGAATGACTATGTCTTCATCGTCTAAATATGTCACTTAATTTCCTACTTGATCCAGAAGAGATCCAACAAAATGTTTTCACCTGCTAGTTGAAAGATTCATTATATTGAGAATGCTCTTATCGAAGCTGTTGGAATGAAACTTCTATCGTTTTGCAGTAGAGGTCGTTTTGTTTCGTGAAAGTTTATGCTACGGTAGTTTTCACAAAATATTTGAGTTGAGAGCATCGTTGGAAATTGTTCTGATGGGAACTTTCACGTTACATTCAGTTTCACGATGACGGTTGAGATGATTGTTCACTATTTGATAAGAAGAAGCGAAAACCTTTGAATAGTGACAAGTTATTGAGTGTGGCCGTTAAACGTCGTCCGGCTGTTGTCGTTAAAGATGAACGTTTACGTTCAAAGTTTGATTGACTGCTTGCTTTTGTGGGCCTGGTCTCAATATTCCCTGCACCGACTCCAGCATCCGTATGGTCTGGAAGGGAAATCAGCATTTCTTACCAAATCGTGCGATATTTTTCCATATTTCGGTCACTTCTCGAAGCATTTCTGGTCATTTATTTTTTGCGTTCAACCGGAGTCAAAATTTATAGTAACTAACGAGAAGAGCAAAGTATTTGTACCCGTAAATCATCGGATCGCCCACTCAAGATGATTGGGAAGACTAATTAGCCAAGAAACGGGAGAATGGCATCATCATATGAGATATCCGCTTGCAGCGGAGAAAAACGATGAACAGAGAAAGTTGAAAAGGAAGTCGTAATGGGTGCGGCACTATGGCTAGAAGCTTCGTCCGATCAAAGTAATTACAATATCGGAACTCGTGGCTGAATAAGTCTTTAATTACGGATGTGAATTGATCAAACAATTGTTGAAAGGTGGAAATAAATGCACCTGAATTGACGACAATATCTTCGAGAGTATCCGGATCAATTTGGGTCACTGTGCTGAGTCGCCTGAAAAGAAGTGCTGCATTTGCTACCTGCTCTTATATTCCTTGATGAGCTCTTAACATTCTCAACATCCTGGACAATGCAACGAAACGAAATCTCCAGAATGACTTCTATTTTTGCCGACGTTCGAACACACTAGGAGAACAATGGCAAGTATTGTGAATTGCAAATGAAACGATTCTCGTTTAGAGGCGATTTTGATGAGCAATTCCATGATCATATTCTGTTGGTTATCATGGAAAAAAGAATGAACATGCGAAATTTTTCAGTAACCTACCGCCTTGTTGGTTGCATACTGCTCTGTTGATGGGTATCTGAAAACTGAAAGAATCAGAAATTAGGAAGAAAGAGCAATTTAACGGGATAACTTCTCGATAGATCTATCGAAGCGCAGGGATATAAGTTTCGATGCGTTGAAACTGGCAGCTGGGATTGTTGGGCATGACAGAATCGAACTGAAACAAATGAGTACCTGAGCCTAAGTCTATATTCTATCCAAATTGAAAAGTTAATAGAGTTGCGTGAAAATTTTCATGATGCTATTATCTCAGAATGTGCTCCGTTTCATTAAAACAATTGCGAATTTGCTCTGTTTCATTAGAACAATAGCAAAGTACGAGTTAAGACTAGTCAAGAAATGAGCATCAGGAATTGAGTGTGCGAATCAGAAATTAAACTTTCTGGACGAGCTAACTTTGTTCTACACCATAGGTAGTAAAGTGTGCTTCAAAAAATTGAGCACGAAAACGCATCATCCATGTAAATAATTGTATTTCGTCATTCGATCTACCATTACGACCACTTTATTGCGAGCATCAGCTTTGAGTGCACATGATGATTTGGTTTATCCTCTAGCCTCTAGCGCAAAAGAAACGCAATTATCATTGTGATCTATCACCCATCTACTTCATTCAGCACATTCCAAACTGTCGCTAATCACAATTTACCATAATCAAAGCATGCATTTCGTTCCAAAAATTAGGGTTGGCTTCTCAAAACTTTTTTCGGTTCATTTTGGAAATGATTTAGGAGTGATCGAGCCGAAAAAGATGTTAATTCAAAGACAATACTTTGATCACGTTTCAAAGAACAATTTTATAGGAGATGATTGAATTTCAGAGTTTTTTCAACTATTATAGTTGGTGAATAGGGTTATACAATTTAATCTACCGGTCTTGTCAGTCTGCCATTCATATTTTGATAAATTTCGTATCATTTTTGAAGCGCAGAAAAATTGGATGAGAAAGATCATGAGAAATAGAGAGAGGTCGCATACTGTGGTTGACAATGCTGAAAATTGTTTTTTGGCACCAAAATGGTTGGTTTTGCTTTCAGCGAAGGTTAGAGTCTGGTAATTCTGATCAAATTCAAAGTAAATGAAACTTTCAGCAGCTCACGGGGAGGGCCGCGTTCGAAATGTGGAATCTCTGACACTTCCAGAAATCACCTCACCAAATATATTTCTGTCACGATAAAATCACGCTTCTGTCACTTGCATGAAACGATTAGCTCAAGCCCTCAATGCCGCTCATGAATACAGTGGAAAGCTGGATAAGAAAGAATTCACTAAGACTTCAGTCAATAGCTCAGAATATACTTACAGAAATTGATGCGCCCCAGAAATCATTTCCGATTCGGTTATTCTTCAGCTTTCTGAATCTTCTTGAAATCATCATCTGTGAACTGACTGCTTTCAATAACGGAAAGATCGTGCATACTATGAAGTGTCGACAACAGACTTAAAACCATATTCGAAATATTGCTCAATGGATGCAAATCCGAAGCTTGGGTTCACAAGATTCCAAGATTGAGCCTAGTCCTGGGCTGAATCCAGTCCATTGAGTTGTCGACGCTTTTAGCCTGCCTCGGGAGATCAACCTCACTTAGTAACTGCTATTTGATGAGGGTGGAAGCGAGCGCTCATATAGCTGCGATACACAGACAACTGATGAAAATGATGGAAAAATAAATATGGAAAAACTCGAAATGATATTTACCGTAATGGGTGTTCGATGAATAGAAAATAATGGATAGATATACAAATATGTGATGACAGTTCAAAATTACTTCATTTCGATTCATGCTTCGGATTTGCCATATCTGTTCATCATCACCAACAACAACATCACATCCGCATTCAAAATGCTGTTGTACATCTTTCTGAATGAAATGCTAATCAATAATTTCAGTGATCGCAATAATAATTTCAGTGATCAAATTTTCTCCCTCCATCAACAAATTACGGTGATAAGCTAGTGGAAATGTTGCAGTCCTTTGAATAATGTCGTTAGTCGAATTGAAAAGTGAAGGATATTGTTGAATGGGGAAATATCCGGAGTTTGAGCTTATGTCTGCATATAAGGCTCAGGCCACGCATTTGCGTGTTATCCTGAGCACGGGCCTAATGTCAGCTTAATCCAGTTCGAACTTCGCAGTTCCTCAGTTTGACACTTCTTTTTTTATTTTATCCCTAATGTTGTTGCCGTTTTTTTGTGGTTGTAATCCCAGTCAGGCACAGCTTTTTAAAGTGCTATGTTGAATCGATGCAATCAACCTTCAAAAGTGATGTTTAACACCAGATGCGAGTTTAATTGAATATTGTGATTGGACTTATGTCATTGAGAACAAAAGAGACCAGTTTTTAATTGTATCGATTTGAGGTTTATTAACAACGCTTCACAGATTATCGTCATCACCATCATCAACATTTTTGTCACAGCAATGAAGTTTTAATTGATTCAAGTTCAGTCACCATTACAGTTTGTTCGATTAGAGATCCAAATTTTAACTCGAACTGATGTGTGTGTTTCGTTGAGTAATTGAAAATGCTGTAGGGTGGTTGAAATTGAATGATTGAAAAAAAATCTTGTGAATTTTTTTGCTGCCATATTGACTGAGAACGGGACTGTAAAATGTTTTCGATTGAATGCAGAAGTGTAAAATTGCTGTAATTATATCACAATTTGTGAACTATCGAAGTATCGTAACCAAAAAACATCGTAAATCATAACAGTTCCTTAATCAGTCCCTATGCTCCCTAAATGCTGATTCCTGCTCTGGTGCTCTCCATGACAAATCAATCGCGGTACAAGTCAAATGTATCACCGAAACTTGCATTCAACAAAATGCTTCTGAAAATCAGCAAATTATTAGTCTCCATAATGACATTCATAACGCTCACATATACACAAGTGCATGTATCTGCATCTTAAAACCACATATACATATACGAATGATATGCTATTTGCAAATGTTCATCCCTTTCAGCCTTGAGCGCAAACTTCTGGATTGAATCCACGCTACCTCAGACCGTTCCAATTAGAGTTTGCGGCGTAGTTTCTCGACTCCGTCGCTCCGCCTGTCGAGTGCGGGAATCAGTTTCTTCTCAGAAAACTTAGACGCTCCAACACATTTGAAAGTGTTGCTGTGCCCTTTGCAATCTAGTGATTTTGGTCGGAAATGAATAACGTTTGTAGTTAGAAAGGTAGGATATGGCACCACGCTGGGTGCAGTATGCAATTCGCAAACTACAACACATGCAAGTGCGAATGATACGGTATGGTAGATACACAAATGAGGGATATGATTAGTAGCATGTAGGGGGCCGATGGGAAATACACTTGCGGCTTGACTGGATTTTTTGTTCTGATGATTCTTTTGGCAGTAGCGTCTGCATTGAATTCATTTGTTCCTTAGTCATCATTCTCTCGTTTTCGTCATCAAATTGAAGTGAATCGGAAAGAATTCCCAAACACATACGTACACAGATAGCATCATCGCTGCAAATTTACTAACAAAAAACAAGTTCTGTTGTTGCGTATTCATATGCAATCCTTAAATCACCACTCATGACTCCAATAACTAAAATACAGTTTGAAGGCCATTTATACTCTGAAACATATGTAAATGAGCAGTGAACGTAAGTATCGTTTCCAATTGCACGGTTTGCCTCACACACTTATCCTGATCTGAAACAGTGATCATTTATGTCTGTTGCTTGTTTCTTGATCACTTGTGAATGAACTCAAGTTTGTGACCGAATACGGGCGAGCTTGCATTTATATTGGTGAATCGTCTGATAGGAATCTTATCAGATGAAGAGTTCTGAAAAAGAGCAAATGCCCTGATTTCTTGCTCTTTCGTCCAATTTTCGAAGAAGCTCGACGCAGTTTTTCGAATTTGTTTTGTTCGGAAGAAGAGAATTTCATTAGGAGTTGTAAGTGAGAGGCGATAAGACTGCGATGCAAGATAACATCGCTGATTCTAGCGATTGTGTCCTAAATAATAGATGTATTTTCGATTCAACCAATTCATAGAATGAACAATTTGCATTACCTCTAAACCACTAATTGTGCACTAACTCTCAACATTGGTCACTTCAAGCAAGTTGTTGAATTGAACGATGCGGATTGACCTGAGAATGACTGACTATTGATCTAAGTGGTAAATCAGAGCTGGAAATGAATAGGTGTTTTTTGGTGGCTATGGCGACTCGAAATGTCAAAAAACGTGTTCAAGGGCATTCGTTCTGCTTGTGAAAG